ACGACTCCTTGAAAAGGTACCAGAGCCTCGGCGGAGGTTCATCCTGACAGAGCTGCACGCGGAAGGTCCAAAACTCATCACCGACTCCTAGGGCAACTACGTGGTCCAGCACGTCATCGAGCATGGCCTACCCGAAGACCGCGCAAAAATCGTCGCCCTGATCAAGGCCCAATTCCTCATGTTCTCCAAACACAAGTTTGCCAGCAACGTGGTAGAGCGCTGCCTCGTGTGCGGCGACGACTCGCAACGCCACGCCCTCGTCTCGACTGTCATCGCCAAGAATGACCGCAGCGAAAGCAACATTCTCAACCTCCTGAAAGACGGCTATGGCAACTATGTCATTCAAAAACTGCTCGAAACCCTCGGTCGCAAAGACTATGAAGTCTTTGTCGAGGCCCTGAAGCCAGAACTCGACAAGGCCAGAAAGACGATTTCTGGCAAGCAAATCATCTCGGTGAGTGTGCGCAGGGCGAACAAATGAGGAACAGTCGGTGCAGATTTACTAACAGTAGATTTAGGTCGAAAAGAAGATGTTTCGGTACACGAGGGTTGATTCCCCTACAATGGGGCCGCCTCCGACGCCTGGTCTCACGAGCTCGGCGCAGTCAGAAGAAAGCAGTGAGGTGCCAAGTGCAAATACGTCAACGATTGAAGAGCCGATCCTCGATGTGAGAAAGTCTGAGAATTCAGATGGAGGTGTGAAGATTGAACAGTCTGTTCATTAACTGCACTACGTCATCTACGCCATGATCATTTGATCATCGCGGCATTTTGACCCTCCTCCCTCCCCCCCCCCCCCGCTCACAAAGCACATCAACCGACCAAGTGTAATTCTTGCCCTTTGCTACTTTTACGACACAATTTTTCTCCACTTCGCTTGCCTAAACCATCTGCATTCTACTGTTCATATAGTATTACCTTTTTCTACGCTTCTTTGCACACATCTATACACTACTCTTTCGTTTCGGAAAAGCAGTACTCCCCTTTTCCCTTTTCTGCCTGAGCATGTTTGGGTCGTCAAGGGGGGTTTGCCCACCTTTTATTACTGTGTTATCAGTACCATTACTATCATTACTTCTACTACGGAGCATTTTTCAGTACAAGTACAAGAGTGGGGCAGCATTTTGGTCTGCATACACATGATTCGATTATAAAAAGAGCATGGAGTCAGT